AGAGAGAGAGGAAGAGAGAGAGAGAGAGAGAGAGAGAGAGAGAGAGAGAGAGAGAGAGGCAACTCTCAAGTTGATACTTTGAGCTAAAGTAAAAAAGTCTAGAAATATGAAACAGTAGCATGTTTACAACACCACCATGAAGTATAAAAGCCATCTGGTCAACCTACCTGAATGGAGCATCTTGGAAGGTATGACAGCAGCCACTGGCTCATCTACCCCCATCTAAACATGTTAGCATATGCAGTCCCTTTCTCCCTGCCTGAAGCCTGTGACACTGAGGAAGAATTACCAAGTCTGGCCACAGGGTGCACGTCCCTGCACTTGCGGAGCTCCCCAGCGGGATAAATCCCGGTTCCCACACTCACCACTTCTTGGTGACACACCCTTCAGTCTCTGTCTTCCCTTCTTGGTCCCACATCCCTTCTCCTCAACTGGGGTTTCTGGATCTGCCGCTTAGAGGGCCGGAGACTAGCGTGAAAGAGTGTAGTCATGTGAGTACCATAAAGGAAGGATGGAGAATGAGGCTCTGGAAACGGCCTGAACCAGCATCAGGCAGAGAGCTGGGATTCCCGTTAGCTCCTGACACAGGTGTGGGTTCACAGAAGTCATCGGAGAACTTTTGTCCCTTCTGCTCTGGGAAAAGGTCACCTTTTCAGGACACCTCTAACACTGCTGTAGATCCCACTGGCTCCGCTGCTGGTTGCCTTCATATAAATATATCCTAAGCTTCTCTTTTAATAGCAGTTCAAGGATCAAGATCCCAAAGAAGAGCCACTCCATGGCACTTCCTGACACAATGTGTAGACTGCCAGGTAGGGAAAGAAAAGTGACTTGGGTCCTCTGGGGGGGAGGGGAGGCTGACTGTCACTTCCAGGGTCTTTCATCCTGTCCCCTTTGGGTCTCCTAGGGGAGGGGAGGCTGACAGTCAGTGACTTCTGGGGTTTTTCTCTGTTAAGCTTGAGCTTGGATTGCTAGGCAACTAGACAAACAACCCACCACAGGGACTGAATATGGATGACTCTCCAATCTTCCAATCTTTTAGTGGCAATTTCTGATAAGGATTCAAACTTTTACTCTTAACCTTGTCTTTTAATTCAATTGTTCTAAGACGTACACATTCCCCGACTTTCCCCATTTCAATATCTCTAAAAAACATTGACTTACCACCGATGGAAAAGTCCCCAAGGGTACTAAAGGAATGGGGGGCAAGGTTCAAATCAGTGGAGTCTTGATGCCTTGTAAGGTCCTATGTCTGACCTCCAGTCCTGAAAGGGTGGGGAGAGATGAGAAGAACAGAAAGAGGTGCAGGGAGAGAAGTGTAGCAAGAATCTTAAGGGGTCTTATTAATAAAAACAAACCAGAGGCCAGTTATTGGGGTGAGTGCTGGAAGATCAGAGAAGCAGAACAAGCCACAGCTTCCTCACCTCACCAATTCCTCAACTGATCCTGGTTCCTCAGACTGGAAGCCTGTGAGTCCTCATCCAGAATGGGTCTCAGCTGAACTGCTGCTCAGAAGCCTGAAAGCTTAAGGAGCTAAATGCTTAACCAGGCCAAAATGCTTCTAGTTTCTGGTCCTCATGCCTTATATACCTTTCTGCTTTCTGCCATCATTCCCTGGGATTAAAGGCTCACTTTCTGGGATTAAAGATGTGAGTCACCATGCTTGGCTGTATCCTTGAACACACAGAGATCCAGACGGATTTCTGCCTCTGAAATCCTAGGATTAAAGGCGTGTACTACCACTGCCTATCCTCATGTTTAATATTGTGGCTGTTCTGTTCTCTGACCCCAGATAAGTTCATTGGCATGCACAATATTTCAGGGAACACGATACCACCACAGAGAAGGAAGAATAAAATCGAGAAAAGAAATCCCACCAGAGAAGCTGATCGTTCAAGGCTTTCCATCTGACCGCTTCCTTCCAGCACTCCCGTGTGCAGTGCTGTCTTCCTCACCTGTTCTGTCTGCTCGGGGAGAACACTTAGACAGCTTGACTGACAGCAGGTCCTCACAGCTGTAGAAAAGCCCCGGTTTGGACACACTGAGGCTCTGTGTCTTTCTGCTTCCCCAGACTGTGTTTACAGAGCTCCACTTTACTTTTTAGACAATCCACAGTGCTGAATGAATGTGACTGGGCTTCTGACTTGAGTCTAAGCTGTGTCCACCCTTGGATTCTGGCCTCTGTGGAAGGTTGGTTGGATGGTCCCTCAACAGTGCGTCTGGAGATGTTGATGGAGTTTAGCCTCAGTAGACAAGCAGCAACCAGTCAGTGTCTCCTGGGGAATTTGGTGGTTTCATCATCTCTGTGTTAGGACCACACACAGTGTTATCAGGATGTGGCAGAGTATTCCCTCCAGACACTCCTGAAGACCTTTGCTGTTGGGCTCCTAGGATAATTTCAATGGGACCCAGATGGGCCTGGAATCTGGAGTAGAACAGTCAGGAGACCCTATTTTTACTCTCAAGCTGTGTCTACCAATTGATGTAACACTAAACCAAGAAGCACATAAAACCAGTCAGAGCTCACATCTGGAGCTTTGAAATGAACTAGAAAACCACACACACACACACACACACACACACACACACACACACACACACACACACACACATTTTCAGAGAGCAAGGGAAATTAACCAGCAAAATGGAAAAGATAGAGAAGTACAATAACACTTGTATAAGACACCACATTGAAACCCACCACTTTGTATGCTCATCTGAAAATATAATTCAAACAATATTTAAAGATTATGAAGATAACTCAAGGAAAAAATTAGCCTGGGTAAACCAGCAAGTCACAATCAGCATGAAGTAGCCCTGCTGTCTCTTGAATGATCGGCAGTGTGAACAGGTGATGGCCTCTCAGGACGCACTTCCTTTCCTTGCGGTGTTACAGGTTCAGCTTGTCAGGGAGGCAGCCCTGATGCCCACTTACCTCAGGTACTGTAGGTACTCAGGTTTTTGCAAACCCTGGTTTGTACATCCTCAAATACTGCTGGCCTTTAAAATAGCTCCCGAAGGGACTCAGCCAGCAGGACTTACACACAACAATGGCAGCGCCCTACAGTGTTCCAAGCTTCGACAATCACAGCCGAAAAGCAACTGGAGACTGAATGTACAATGCACGAACAGCCAACTGGTGTACCCCAGCAGTGTCAGTCAGCAAAAATAGGCTCCACTTTTAGAAGATAATGTGTTTCTGGCTGAGTATGTTTTGATCAAACAAAGCACACATGTGGAGAAATTGTTGGAGAATATACGTGTCTTAGCTCTTACCCCTGCAGAGGACATACCAATGTACTTCACAGCCACAGGTAATGCAATGCCAGTCTCACAAAGGTCTCCATTTGGAAGCAGAATTTTCTCAGTGTGAGGTCTGATTGGCATCTGGTGAACTTCCATCTCTTCCTCGTGTCTCACAAGAAGCTCCATTTTGATTTCACAAAGCTTGATGGGAAATCATTTTTCATTAGG